ACATTATTTAAAGTGAAAAAAGAGTGACCAGGATAAGTATATACACAGTATCACCTATACATAGTTTTTGCAATATGCAATATATTTTTTATTCTAATTATTTTATTTTATATTTTTAAGATTGTATGTGATATATATGGTCTATCGTTACGAAAAGAAATGATTTAAAATAAAATGTTAAATAAATAAAAACAAGTTGATTCAGTGTATGTATTCAAATGCCAAATTCATTGCATTAATCTGTGATTAATCTGCATTCTTAAATGTGTCAGACCGCAAATAACGTGATACAAGCACATCTGACTTGAAAAAGAAAACTTCCCAGAGAAGCAGACCATTAGTTTTAGGCACTAACAGCTATTGCCATAAACTATTTATTCTATGTTCAGTTTTCTCTGCAGTCATAATGAAGAATCTTAGTAAGTTAACATGGTTATAGCAGAATAACATATCTTGGTGAGTAACACATTTTAGCAGAATAACACATCTTAATGGAACGGACATTTGAAGGCAATCCTATCGCTCCTATGATTAGAGAGCATTTTTATTGATACCGTAACTCATATATTTATCAGAACTATGCTTTGTCAGTGCATTAGCCAAGTATGTTGTTATCTTATCAAAAAATATCTTATAGTACCACTCAAAATCCCAAAACAGATAAATACAAAATTTCAGCTATGGCTTTTACACTTAAGATGTCTTAACAGTGGATGTTGAATCGTTCTTGGAGCTTGTTGGGTTGAGCAGACCAGAGGTACAATGGGAGTTGACGTTCATCTTTGAGCTAATGCTAAAGTTATTGCTAGATTGTCCAGACCCACAGTCTAGTAACCTCAGTAGGTTCTTGCGAAAGTTGTGTCCAACAAACCCATAAAGAATGGGGTTTACACAACTGTTTAAATAGGAGATGCAGATGGTAACAGGCATGGCTGTGTCAATAACATCCAGTGTTTGGCAGTTTTCCACTACGCCAAGCGTGGCCAGCAGCTCCATGAAGTGGAAAGCTTGGTGAGGAGCCCAACAGACAAAGAAAGCTAGCACAGTAGCGGCTATCATACGAAGAGTTTCGTCTTCCCGAGAGCGAACGCTTTTCCTCAACAGACCCCTGGAACCCAGAAGTGCCCGACCAATCAGACAGTAGCAGGTGATGATGACGAGGAAAGGCACAAAGAAACCTAGCACGCTTTTTAGCACGCTAAGGGTAACTAACAAGTTAATCTGCTCACTGCGGTGCCACACGGCGCACAATGTAGAGTTCCCAATGTCGTACACATCCCGGCTTAACGCTGTAGGTGCACTGAGGAGCAAGGCAAACAGCCATATGAGTACACACGTGAGGTTGGCGTAGAAAAGCGTTCGTTGGCGTCTGGAGCGCACTGGATGCACGATAGCAAGATATCGATCAATGCTAAGAGCGGTGAGGAAGAATATGCTAGTATAGAGGTTGAAGATGACCAATCCGGCACTTGCCTTGCACAGGAAGGTCCCAAACGGCCAATGGTAACCCATAGCTGTGAAAGTGGCCCACAAAGGTAGCGTAATAAGGAAGGTGAGGTCCGATATGGCTAGATTGAGCACAAACACGTTCGCTACTGTCTTCAACTTCATGTAGCGGTAGATGACAGCCACCACCATGCTATTGCCAATGATCCCGATGACGAAATTGCATCCGTAGACGACGGGGATGAAGGTGAAGATGAAGTTGTGTCTTCCAGACATACTGCAGTTCACATGGAGGCCCTCGCTCATTCCTGATGTTTTGTTCTCCATTTCTGGTCTCCAGTTGTGGTGATTATGTGACTACAAATGGGTTCCGCTATCCACAGGGTGTGTCTGCAGTAACCAACACCAGCTTTGGGGTAAAGGCTTTACTGACACCTATAAAGGAGAGCAACAAAAATGTCAGCCACAGTCCAGGGGAAGAGGCATCGTTACCACATTCAAAGGCCGTAAACAGCGGTCGTGACACATGGCCATGAAAGAGCTCCTGCTATGCACTCTCATCAAGCTCTACACATTAAAACTGTCCTCACTCATCATGCTGCTTCTGCTAAATAAGATGGCGTTAAAAACAGATGCTTGATGAATCAGCCCTTTGAAATTGCACTTATCTGTCCACCAGAAACCCCTTAAAATGCTCTCTAAAATGGTGTTTGTCACGGAACATGGGAAAAAGTTGAGGGAAACTGTCTTTCTGTTTGTCTGTCTGTCTCTCCCTTGATTGATGAGCATTGTTGCTGATGCAGTAACGCGTGTAACTGGTTTGTTTAGCAGAACTGTGATTTGGCAGCGCATTGGTCAAGTACTGTATGTTGTTGCCTGATAGAAAATATCTTGTAGGACCTTTTCAAAATCCCAAAACACAGATTAATACAGAATTCCAGCTATGCATTTTGCACTTAAGATGTCTTAACAGTGGATGCTGAATTGTTCTTGGAGCTCGTTTGGTTGAGCAGACCAGAATTAACATTCATCTCTGACCTAATGTTAAACATCCTAGGAACCTCAGCAGCTATTTGCAAAAGTCGTCTTTGTCTCACTGTCTGTCTAAACACCATAAGACCATATTCTCCAGTTTCAGTGAATTTTCATTTTATTGCTGTGCATTTTAAATCTGAACGGCAAATTCAGGAATTGAAATGGAATTTAAAATGCATTCTTAATTAAATTGTAATTAATTTCTGAATGGCCCACAGATTTTTTTACTCTGATACAATATTTAATTTGCTAGATACTAAGTAAGTTCCGAGGTATTAATTTACATTGTAGTGAAACCTCCTGCTTTTTATCTTCTCAAATAAGAGAATACTTTTTTCCTTGAGTATCACACAATAATTCATGGGTCAATTCTGTCAAATGCAAATAACAACAACAAAAAAGAAGATATATATATATATATATAATATGCAGTGTTATGTCAAATGAATGAATAATTGTTTCAAACAGATGACAGATCAGTTCAGTTTGCATAATTTGCACATCACAAATGTATTTCTATTTTGTTCTGCTTTTGGTGGAATCATGGTTTATAGGTCGTGCCACATAAATAAAATAAAATAAAAATAAATTGTATATTTGTGTTAAGGCTGTTCTAGTTATACACTGTAAAAAAGTCCAGTAAAAAATGGTCAAATGACTGGCAGCTATGGCTGCCAATCAAAAACCATAAAATTACAGTAAAATATCGTAATTGAAACAAGGG